AGTTCTCTTTTCAATCTTTCCCAGTTGCTTGCTTCATGTGGTATACATAGATAGGTTAAAGACATTCACTTCAAATTGAACATGTGTTTTTTAGATGATTATATAAAGTTTTGGATTTTCAACGGTAATGAAGGTTAATTCTAAAGTTGGCTTTTAAAGTTCCTTTCTTTTTTATGCTTTAGTAAGTTTAATTTGTTGTTTTTTTACCTTCTTGGCAAACATATAAAGGCTATAGTCTTCCTAGAAAGTTAATTCTATTTTTAATTTTAATGTTATTTTTTTATGGATTTTGCTTGGATTTTGTGTTATGTGTGTTATGCTATCAACTTTTTAATGACTAAATATTTTATTTGTTATGAATTATGATATAGGCTTTTGTTGGGTGATAAACTTTGAAATTTTGGCCGTTAATGTATTTGTGATAGTGAGTGAGGTGCTTGTGGATAAAGTAGAGCTTGGTCTATAAATTTTTGTTTGACTTAGATGTTATTTTAAGGTTTTTGAAATTATCAATTTGTATTTGACTTAGAGGACATTTGAAATGTTTTGAATTTTATTTGATTCATTGCTCACCTTCGCTTAGTGCATTATTTTATCATTGTTGCAAATCTTAAATTCAAAGTTGCAGCCACCCAGCCCCACCCCCTTCTTCAAACCTACACAACCACACAATGGCACACCGACTGTTTGCTCAAATTTCTGAGATAAATTTGTGCCAACAATTGGTGAAATTTGGTTTTATGGCTTTCTTCAAAGGTGGAGAGGTTTGGGGTGACTTTTTGTTTTCATGTTCAAGATTTTGTTTGACTTAATAGTTGATATAAGTCATGAGTTTGGGGTTAAACCCATGAGTTTGACAGAATGTTTGTGTCTCCCTAAACTTTTTGTTCCCTAGACGTCTTTCTCTCCCATTTTGGTTATCAAATAAAATTAATTTGATTCAGTTGATTGTTAGGTTGTTTGTGCATAGTTTGTGAAATTTCAATTTGATTTTTTAGTATCTTGATTTGATGAATGTTATTTTGTATGAAATATCTTGATTTGATGAATATTAATTAGTATGAAATAAGTTGTGTTTTTAGCAATTTTAAAACAAAATGAATATGTGTATTTAACGAATATTTCTAATTTTTTGATTTACTCTGTTTCTTATATTTGTAGCCATCATATTTTTATGTCATTTTGTTTTGTGATTAAACTAGTCTGTGATTGAAAAATTTTATGGGTTTATTTCAATTTTTTAAGAATTTTATGTTTTGTCTGTCACTTTTACAAGTATGAATATAGTTGTTTGTGTAGGGAGAATGGTGCTGTGGTAATTGGTACATAGTTAGATTTTAGTTTGCATATGACATGATTTGATTATAATTATGAAATATATAAGTTTTGTAAACATGTTGATATATTTGTGGCATCATATTTTCAGAAGATACTCTACCAAAAAATTTAAAGTTTCTTCCAGGGTATCCACATTTTGATAGAATATCCACATTTTGACCACATTTTTTTTTTTTATTAAAGTCATGGCATTAAAAATGACCAAACAATTTTCAGTTTAATGCATATTTATATTCATTATTTGATTATTTCGTATTTAAAAACTATATACAGTGCCTTCAGACATTTGATATAGGGCGAATTTAGGCTTTCAGTTTAGTACGTGTCAAAGTTCAGTGCTTGATTATTTCGCTTTCAAATTCAATGTTCAATTCTTTTTTAATTATACTGTGCCTTCAAACACGAATTATCTCAAGTGTTTTTATACCAAACCTTGATGTGAACTTTTCTGTTTTAACTAACCAATTTTATTATCACATCAAGAATGGGTCCATTTGCAACATGTTTGACTTTTGTGTTTCAATTTCATTCCTCTCCACGATCTCCATCCCAGTCGTCCAATTCAAGATTGACTATCCATTTCATCTATGGGTCGACCCATGCATAGTTTAGGCCAATTCTTTTGAGTCATTAAACTGAACCTTTTTGTGATCCTTTCGGTTTTGATTGGTCAATTCTTTCCCACTGATAAATGAATCCGCTTCATTTTTGGGTCTACCCATATGTTAGTTTAAGATAATATTTTGAGCTCACCTTTCCGTGAACCTTTTTTTTCAATGATGAGGGGTTATCCAGGTCAATTTAGGTGCATTCCAATTATTCTATTTTCGATTCAATTAAAAATAGGTTATTCATATCTGGACTAAAATGTTCATGAAAAATTAATCCCTCATCACTTAACTTTAAGTAATTACTAAAATTTAAATCCAAATATTTAAGTTTATAACTCATTCCTACTATTACTTAAACTAGTGAACTTTTAGTTTTGAGTGACTAAGAATAATATAATGTAGGGGGGCAACTCGGGTGGGTTGGACGGGTTGGACAGTCAACCCTAGGTATATAATCTTAAACTCTAATCCTAACCCTAATCTTATCTCGGATTGAGGAATTCAACTCGAGCACTGCCCGAGTTTAATTCGAGCGGGCTCGGGTTGAATTCGAGTTAATAATTTCGGACTGATTTTGGGTTACTTTACGGGTTTAGTTCAGATTGAACCCAAAATAGGCTTGTTGTTCTATACCTGATACATATATTACATAATATTCACCTAAATTAACAACCAACAATTTCAATCAATTTTTTAACATAAAAACTATAATATTAAGAAATCAATGTTTGAGATAATATAACCACAACTATACATAACACAAATAAATATAACCAAAATCCTTGAGATTAACCCTAGGATAAAATTGTATTTATATAGTATTAATTTGGGTTGAGCCTGATTTTAATATTCGGGTTTAACCTGTGAACCTGATGGCTCAACTCGAGGCCCACCCAAATTGAATTCGGATTGAAGTTTTTTTTACCCAAACTCAACTGAAGTATTAAAAATCTTAATTTAAATTTAAATCTAATTTTTTCGGGTTTGACTTGGGTTAAAATCGAGTTAGCCCGCCTATAATCCGTAAATTAATTAATCTGAGAATGATTAGACAATTTGAATTTTTGATTTTCCTCATATAGTCAGCAGAAAGTTTCAATCTCTTACCATCACATCAAGATATGGGTCCATTTGCAATCAAAGCGACTTTACCGTTGACATTTCATTCCTCTCCACTATCCCCAATCCCAATCATCAAGGTTCCCATTCCCATCCACTCCACCCTCTGACCAGTTTCTCCTACAGCCACTTGGCTGTTAAAATGCCCAAGAATTTGTAAGCCTTATTCAACGACTCATGTCGTGTTTTCAAAATATCTAAATGTCAAAATAGTTTTAATTCTGACTAATATATACTCATGTATTTATTATCAGGCTCATATCGTATGAATTCGTGTCAAATATATATTGTATTTAATTAGATTCGTGTCATGTTTGTTTGGATTTTTATTAACCAATTTGTTTAAAGGATCTGACGAGTTCATCAATTTAATACAAAACTCGATAAAACAAAACCTAAATATACAAATTATTTATCCATTTTAGTGTGGTGATCGTAATTTGTGTGAAATTGTCAAGCCTAGTTGAACGGTAAAGCTTAAAAACCTGCTGCGCAAATATTGATATATCAGAACTTTGTCTCTGTTATTATAGCTATAAACTACCAGAAAGGCTTACATAGTCGCCCGCACCGACACTAGTTTATTTTTTGGTGTGTGTGTGTGAACATTTCTCCTCATACTAGAACGACTTAAAAAGTGATGGACTTACGCAAAATTGTTTGAGAGAATTACACTTAGAGCATCTTATGGTCTGCGACTACATCACATAAACTCCCTCAAATATAACACCCTAATCCCTCGAGCTTTGGACCCGTATAACAAATTACTCCCCATCGTTAAGATCCGTTTGGCAAACTGTCAAATTGTGACTAAATCAGTATTTTTTTTTTCCAAAAAATTCCCAAATTACCCAAGTTTAAGCCAACAATAAACACAAATAATTCATACAGAGTTTGGTATGATATTTGTGTTTATGTCAAATATGCTTTGTTTGGTTTTTGTTAAAAGGTTATAATGGTAATTTTCTAATTTTTGTTAGATCAGTTAGTTGACCACTACTAACAAGGGTGACAGTGATATTTTTCATACATTAGGCGTCTATGTAATTTAACACAAACCTCAAAGAGTTTAAGTGTAATTCTCCCAAATTGTTTCACGCCGACAACAGTTACGCAGCATGGTCGGCAGCAAGTTGGCCAATTGTGTTTTCAAATCATTTTGGGTCCACTGGCCTTTTACACCATAAATAAGTCGATAATTCTTAGAACTAGTTTTAATTCGGATTATAATCAGATTATTTGCTATTTGAACCCGCCTTTAAAAATCATAAACTCGATAATTGACAAATTCTTTTATATACATGATCTTAAATAGATTGCCTATGAGTTGAATTAATTTTAAAGGATAAATTATACTTTTAATCCTCTAAATTATAAATTAAATTTCACTTTGTCTCTTAAATAATAAAGTTTTTTTACATTGTCTCTTTCACTACTTTGATTATTTCTGATGTATCGAGACAAAGTGAAAAAAAATTACATAGTTCAGGAAGCCAAATGAAATAAATTTCATTAAATATATAGTGGACATTAATAATTGAGGCAATGTGACACTAATCACATAATTAAGGTGCAATGTAAAAAATATGATAGTTAAAGGGGCAAAGTGAAAATGTATCATAGTTTATGGGTCAAAATGTAATTTTCCCAAATTTAAAAGTCAAAACTTCAATATGTTGAAGCCCAATACAATACAACTCAGTTCCGCTCGTACCTATAAGTATGGTGCCTTGATTCAGTACTTTGCAGCATTGTCTCCTGACCAATCTTTCATCATCTGAGAGCTTTGCTTTTTTTTTTTTTTACTTCTTCCAATGGCTATAGTTCAAGCCCAAACACCCTCCTCCTCAACTTCTCAATGTACCTATCATGTATTCTTGAGTTTTAGAGGGATAGATACTCTCAAAACTTTTACTGATTATTTTTATACAGCTTTGAAGCATGCTGGATTTGACACGTTCAGAGATGACGAAGGGATTGAGAGGGGAGAAAATATCAAGTCAGAATTGCAGAAAGCAATCTAACAGTTGAGGATGTCGATAATTGTCTTCTCCAAAAATTTCGCGTCTTCCAAGCCATGCCTTTATGAGGTTGAGATGATTCTCGACCATAGCAAGAAGTCTGAACATGCCATTTTACCGGTGTTTTATGATGTGGATCCTTTTGAGGTCAAAAAAAAAGCAAAAGGTCTAGCATCAGCGGAAGGCCTTGGGAGGCATGAAACACAAGAAAGACAGAAAGAATGGAAAGACAAAGCAGAAGGATGGAGCATAGCACTTAAAGAAGTAGCAAATATGGCTGGAATGGTTTTGCAAAATGAAGCTGATGGGTAATTTCCTCCCCAATCCTTTTTTCAGATGTATGTCATCTGTCATCATGCTTCCTTGAAATCTTTTGAGAAGTGATTAAGAACTGCATTTTATCTGTCTTTGTCATGCATAGATTCACTCTTCTTTTATGCTTCTTTAACATGGAAAACAATAAAAAGAATATTTAAGGCTACTATTATTTAAACGGTTAATTATGATCTTCATTTCACTTTTTCTCCGTCAACTATCAATTTTAACACATAGCTTCATCAACTGTTCAAATTCGTGACACTTTGTAAACTATGTTAATTTTTCGACAAAAATAGGTTAAGTGGGCACGTTACGATAGCTAACCCATGCAACTGCTATTTCTACATATAGAGGAAGAAAATTCATTCCTAGGAGAGCAACGGGTTGCACCCAAAGGCCTCTAGACTTCTAGGACAGTGAGGCGCTCGTCTAGGGTCCCAGTTGTCACATTTTGCAATTGAATATTTGGAAAAATTGAAAAAGTGGATTTAGGATGTTACAGTTACTGATTGCGTGCCATTCCTTAGGTCTTTGTTCCGAACTAGTGTCATTCTACTATTAGGAGAAACAATCGACCTCTTCAATATATATTTATTACTATTGTAAAGGAAAATAAAGGGGTTTAGTGCCCATATATAAAATACATATAATACCCCTATTTTTTTGTGAATTTTTAACCATTATAACCTTTTAACAGAGCCATATTTATATAATTTATCTCTTCTCGCTACTATTTTGGTTTCTATCCTCTCTTTATCTTATTCTTCTAAAATTGGTCATACCTAGGTAGAATTTTTAAAAATTTCAGAAGTATTTAAGACTTTTTTTTTTAATTTTTTGGTAAGTAGAAGTATTTAAGACTTGCCCCCATTGAAAGTTTGTAAAACATTTAGGGTAGTTTTACAATTTAGAAACTCAAATGGATTTCTTAATAAATCAAAGTGAGAATTGCACTTTGTACCGTTAAAAATTTTACTTTCTAACTTCGAAGATTTGATTTCTCATTTGTATTAAGGGGGTGAATTAGATTAATTTAATTTGGTAATAATATAATACTAAGTTTGAATGATGTTATAGCGACTCGATATTAATTTTAATTAATTTCGACCCAGTTCATTATTGTTATTTGATACCTAATATTAAGTAGCAATGAATAACATATAGTAGGTAGTATTTTTAATTGTTTTTCTTTTTTTGTGGGACAGGGAGGGGGCTTGAACCCTTAACCTCAAGAAGACAAAATTTTCATAAGGTAAGGAGTACCATCGAATCAAAGGCCTGTTGGTAAGTAGTATTTTTAATAAGTTAATTATTAAAAATGCAATCACTTTATTATCCTTATAAACTTAGAGTCATTCCTTCATAAAAAAGTTATACATTATGCAAATTCTTACCCTTAGTATTTGTTTTGTCATTTTTAATTTAATATCTTACACTATTACTAAATCCAAACATAAATTTGGTATTATAATTATAGATTTATATATTATCCAAACATTGATCCAAACTTGTTATAAAAAGATAAAATTAAATAATACTTTTGTTAACACTTTTTATGCATTGAATGAGACCTAATTACCCAATTCCATCCTTTATTTGTACCTGAACCAAAACATACCCTTAATATATTAAAGTGTTATAACGTGACTTTTTTATTAGTTTTCGTTATTCATTGCGTTAACTTCGATAGGATTGGTTTTAACGGAATAAGCAATGAAAGGTAAGAAAAAGACCATATTAGAACATTTTTAATAAACTAGTAATGCACACGTGTGTTGCACGTGAAAAAATTTAGATCATAAAAATTTGATTATATTTTTTAGAAATACAAAGTGTATGAAGTTGACGAAACAAAAGACTGTTGATATATGCATTTAATGGCTTCTTGAATCCAATAAAAATTTCTGGCATTATAAGATAAGACCAAAAAAACTCCTAAATATAATTTATTAATTTAAAACTATTCCACCATCACATGAATTCAAGAAGTCTAATAACAAAACTAATTCTACTCATAATATAATAACTCCTAAACACCACAAGCCTAGTAATAATAAACAATTAAATATTATAAGATTAGTTTAACAGATTAAACTTTTCATTATATGAAAAGTACCTTTTTTTTAGGCATTCATTATCAATTTTATGGGAACACCAAATTAATTTTAGTTCAAATTACAAAAACTGTTGTAAGGTAAATAGAGCATTTATGTAATATCATACCTGAATAGATGGAAAACAAAGTAAAGAAAATATCATACCAGCAATAGGCATGTTTTGACAGAGAAAAAAAAAAACTCACAAGTTGACAACACCAAGCACCGTCGACCCACTATTCTTCACAGCCACAATATACTTACCGTTAAGGGGATAGAGATGTAAGACCACTAATTTTAAAAGATTCTAAAGAAAAAATTTATTGCACAGATATAAGACCAAATATATTAATGGAGTTACTGGAGAGATATAGGTCTATCTTCCTATATCTACCTATATATTTCTAATAAATTTGTTCAAAATATTTTAGAAATCTAATAGGTACGACATAAAGAAACATATATGGGTTTAACTCTTTACTCTTCTAATATTTTATTATATAACAATGAATAATGAATTTTTGATGGTTGTGTTTATCACCTAAAAAATAGTAATTTTTTTTTCACATCATATTAGAATTCTAGTTGAATTTGTCTAATTGAATGGAAAAGAAGAATGTATTGACAAGTCATAATGATAAAATTTATGTAGTAAAAATTTTGGAAGTTATATAGATAAATTTTATCTAACTAATATATAGTGATAAAATTTATCTAACAAAAAATTTAGAATATTAGTGATAAAGTTTATCCAACAAAAAATTTGGAAGTCATTTAGATAAAGTTTGTCTAGTTAAAGTTTATCTAGCTAATATTTTGTGGTCATAATTGTCTTTAGTGTAATAATTAAGGGTGAAATAGGAAATCAAAAATTTTTCGCAGATGCTGACATTTATAAATAGTATAAATTAAATTTGTTTTGAAATTATTCCTTACATTATTTATGACTATTTAGCATGTTTTGAAATATATGATTGGGTATTTAAATACTGGCTTGGAATCCAGACCCGAATTAGGGTTCTTAGTGCGGTTCGCACAACTGTTTGAAATTACCGTACGGTTCGTATTGATCAAAACACTGGAATCCTTTTGTATGAAATGTAAATGCACACAGGTCGAGTGACAAAGGGTTTACATTACAAGTTGAGGTCGTAGAGGTTTTCTTATTGGGTTCGTAAATGCCTGGGTGGCTGAGCTGGTCTTCGAACTTGGGTACTGACCTTGGACTAAGGGAGCATATCTTCCTCAGGGTGCAAGTCCCTCAAAAGATTGGATTATATGTTCATATTGACCCTAAACAGTATACCAGGATGATTGCCTACTGTTTTAGCATACTTTACTTGAATTTCTAAAAACTCTTTTACACTTTTACTTAACTGGTACTATTTCACATAAAATGATGTTTTTACTTTTATATATGTATCAAATGCTCATTAAGCACATATTAGAGAAAACGGTGAACCCTAACCGTAAGGATTGGCCACTTCGGTTGACCGATACCTTGTGGGTATACCGCACAACATTTAAGGCAAATTTAGTGTAATTGAGCATCGTGTATACTAGGCCATTAAATTATTGAATTTTAATTTGGGTTTAGCTGGTAAGCATAGGAAGTTACAAATCAATGAATTGGAAGCAATACATATGGATGCATCCAAGGGTACTCGAATTTACAAAAAAAAAGGTCAAAGTTTTTAATGATAATTTTATATTGCGAAAGACCAACGAGCCAGGTCAAATGGTACTTTTATATAATTCTCGTCTTCATATTTTTTCAGGGAAATTGCACTCCCGTTGGACTGGTCCTTATGTAGTTCGCATTGTTTATTCTAACGAGGTCGTGGAGGTAGAAAACCTCAAGAATGGGCAGACTTTCAAAGTTAATAGATGGAGACTTAAGTAATTCTCGGAGAGTTTTTCATTTGAGGAGATTGTTGATGACTTACCTAATCCTGTGTTGTTAGTTAAGGGTAGTTAGTATATTTTCATTTTGTGTAGTTTCTTTTGTTGTTTTGCTGTTGGTGGTTTTTTTTTTTTTGGGGAGTTTAGTGTCAGGTGTTTTCTTATTTTTATTGTTCTACATTTTTCACATTTGGATGATTATTTTTGCATTGAGAACAATACATGATTTTTAAGTAAAGGGCGAGAGTTACACCATGATTATATGTTACACCACCATATTCATATTATAAAATAGAAAATTGAGAAAAATTAAAAATAAATTAAAATAAATAAAGCATCTGGATTATTCTCTCTTAATTAATATCAGATTTTTAATTATTCTACTAGAATCTCGAGTTATTTGCATGTTAGTACACTGACTGAGTTTATTCTATGTTTAAGTATCTTTTACATGTTTTCGGTTGGAATTCATCTTATGTGTACCCTGAGCTTGCTAATTTTTGTAATTTATTGAAAGAGATTCACATCCTAATTGGCTTGACATCCATAGTAGATGAATGATTGTCTCATGTGGGAGTAGAGACTTAATTCTTTTGCGGTGTAAGGTGAGATTTCCCCCAAGTCAAAAAAAAAAATTACTTCACACGATCTCTCTTCCTAGTCTCGCTTCTGCCTTTTCCCTCTGCAGTCATTAACCGAACCAGTTGTCCTCATAGAACCGCACAGGCTACATAACCTATTTATCTCCACCTTGTGATTGTGTCTCTTTTTAATCGTCCATTAACCACACTGATCATCGTGTAAATCCGCCGCTGATGAGAGTCCTAGAAGACTCTGCGGGATGTCTCTAGAGGTAAATCAATAACCCATTAAAGGTTTCTAAAGATATTCAGAGATTTTTTATATGTCAAAACTTTTTATTTTCTTAGAGAAATATTATCGTCCATGACAAAATAAAGTGATTTTTCTGTCAAACTATTATTGTCTGTTAACTGTTTGTTAAAATGCCACAGACAGAAACCATTATAGAATGAGCAAAGTATATCAGTAGGAATGACCGTGCATGAGCCCAAGAAAATTATGGATTGTCCAAAATCAAAATGATTGTAATTTTTAAATATTTTATTGAAATTATTGCAAATTAAAATGAAATGGTTGGTCAATGAACATTGACTTTGATTACCCAGTACCCATTCAACTACATTATTTCTACCATTGCTATTTTTTTTTGGGTAAATTCCAATTCTACTCTTCAAGCAACTTTTGTGCTACGTTATTTTCTCGTGTCTCTGAAATAGAATCATTGCAGCGTTGCAATTCACATCAACTGAAATTTCTTTGAGTGTGAAGAAGACAATATGGAGTTTGATGCTACGAAATTGGTTTAATCGGATGGTGTCATAATTATTTATTTCTAATAAAGTCTATGAGGTTGAATTGAAGACTTATCGTCTTCATGAGTTTTGATAGTTGTCACTCAGAATTAATTATCTCTTAAACTTGGCTTGGCTTGCTAGTCGGTGCTCTTTTTTCCAACCATATAATTATTCGGTTTTATTGGTTACTCATTTTTTTTTTTTTTGCTCGGAGAAAAAAGGGTGAGAGCAAAATGAGAGAGTCCAGAGACTACCCTGATAGGTCTTCACTGGTGGGATCATGAGGCCCCTGCCAGTGCCCGTTATTTCTCTTAGGAATGAACCTAGTTAGACTAGTAGAGTGGTCAACCACCGAGCTCCAATATGGACTCCAAGGTTCAAACCTTCAACTTTAAGGTGAGAAGTTCGATTAGTAATCCATTGGACCACCCCACTCGATTTTATTGGTTACTTGAAATGCCAATTTGGGTTACAGTTTGAATTAAACTATTGAAAATTTGCCTATTATGACTCACACATTGGATTAAAATGTTTCATTGATTGGCTTGAATATTTTGCTCGTGACTGATCAAATTGTACCTCTGTCCTAGTTCAGTTCTAAATTGTTTTTGTTAAATTTTTTTGGTTTATTTTAGTTATTTAAGCTCTTTATAAATTGTTAAAAAGTCAAGAATAAAATATCAAATTAGAATCTAACTAGAACACTTAACAAGTTTTAGGTTACCCCACTGCATAACCATCCTGGTTCCGTCCCTGTGTATGGTTGTGCCCGGGATCCACTAGTACGTTTGTGTGTATGTCATCAAACGAACTCAACTCCACTCTCTACAATTGGCAGAAGTAATGTGTGTGTCGGACGCTTTGCTGTTAGAGATGAGTTTTTTTTTTTGTAACCATTTATTATGGTGATTGGTCTCATTAACACATTGATGTACAGCATTATGAAGGAAACTTCTTAAACTTTACGAAAAACCCGATCCATTTGTGCCACTTTGCGCTTTATCCAGTACTTCGATGAGGTTTATTACTGCAAATAGAAATCCTGGTTGGTATTTGCGTTTATCAAAAAACACAATATTGATAAATAATGGAAAACAATTTAATGTAACAAGAAAAAAACATTTAAGGATGAGCATGTAAATTTATTGGTTTGAGGAAGATTAGAAACCTGTGTCATTATTTCAATCATCCACCAAAATAATAGAATTAGAATATTTGCTGAAGTATTTTAAGCTATATTCATTCATTCCACTGTAAGAATGTAAGTAGTAGTCTTTTTTGGTTTTCTACGTGCACTGAATTTGTAAGTTTATCAAGCTTTTCACATGCTTATTATGCTTCATTTTTCTTTTTGAATCGAATTTTCAGGCACGAGTCGAAATTCATCCAGAAAATTGTTGGAGCAGTTAAACAAAAGCTAACTCGGAGAGTCCTAGATGTTAGCCCCCACCTGATTGGAATAGATGCTCGAGCCCATAGCATTAATTTGTGGTTAAGGGATAGATCAACCAATTTTGGCATCTTGATGATATATGGAATGGGCGGTATCGGCAAGACGACCATTGCCAAATTTATTTGCAATTCAAACCACTTCAGATTTGATGGTACCAGCTTTCTCAAAAATATCAGGGAAGTTTCTAAAGAACCAAAAGGTGTAGTTCGTTTGCAGCGCCAACTACTTTCAGATATTCTACATAATAAGACAGAAAAAATATACAGTATAGATGAAGGAATTAACAAGCTTGGAAATGCCTTATGCAAGAAAAGAGTTCTTCTAATTTTGGATGATGTGGATGAAGTGGACTAATTAGATGCAGTTTTTGGTATACAAAATTGGGATTTTCGGGAGAGTAAAATCATCATAACAACTAGGCAGGAGCGTTTGCTAAAGGCTCATGCAAATTATGAAGTGTGTAGACTTGAAAAATTGACTGAGGATGAATCGTTGGAGCTTTTCAGTTGGCATGCTTTTGGACAAAAACATCCTGAGGAAAGTTACATGGAGCAAACAGAAAGGTTTGTACACTACTGCGATGGGCTTCCTTTAGCTCTTCAAGTTTTGGGCTGCTCTGTTTGTGGGCTAAGTTTAGATGTATGGGAGAGTGCATTGAAGAAATTGGAAGCAACTTCAGATAGTAAAATTGTAAATACGCTTAGAATAAGCTATAACTTGTTAGAAGATGATCACGATAGAAAACTATTCCTTGATATAGTTTGTTTCTTTGTTGGGAAAAAAAAAAGTGACATCGTTTCAATCCTAGATGGACCTGATTGCTAGCTATCCTGAATTTGGGATTCAACATCTCATAGATAGATGTCTCCTAACAATTGAATATGATAGGATCAGAATGCATCAGTTGCTTGAAGACATGGGAAGACAAATTATTTTCCAAGAATCGAAGTATCCTGAGGAACGTAGCAGAATCTGGCGTCATAAAGCCTCCTTCAACATTCTGAGAGAAAAAACTGTAAGAAACATGTTTTTTATATCACTTGCGTATTCTTGTCTGTGTGCTAGTTTCTTGTCTAACTTTTCTTCTATTATATTTCTTAATAAGGGGACAAAAAAAATTGAAGGCATCATCCTTGATATGAATATGCTGAAAATTTCAAATGAGGTAGTCTTAAACACCGAAGCATTTGAAAATATGCACAACCTTAGACTACTCAAGCTCAGTTACTTTCAACTCTCTGAAAATTATGCGGTATTTCCTAAAAGAGTCATATGGTTGTATTGGCGTGGTTTTCATTTAAAATCTCTACCCAATAATTTTCCTCTTGAGAACTTGGTTGTTCTTGACCTACGGTATAGCAAATTGGAGCAAGTTTTGAATGGAACTAAGGCACGATACTCTTTGCTACTTCATTTTTTCAAAAAAAATTCTTGGTGATTTTTATTTGTGAAAGAAATAACTTTAACTCCCTTCCTCTTTCTTAAATTTTGAAATTGGTTCTTGGATCATTGAAAATCCTTAATCTCAGTCATTCCCCTCACCTTACAAAAGCTCGAGACTTCTCTAATATCCCCAATCTTGAAAAACTAGTTCTCAAAGACTGTCAAAGACTAGTCTAGCTTTTTGAATCTATTGCAAACTTAGAGAGGCTTTCTTTGTTGAATCTACAAGATTGCAAAAATCTGAGAAAGTTTCCAATGATTAAATCTCTGGAACAACTCATTATTTCTGGATGCTCAAACCTTGCTGGGTTGGCAGAGCAACTGGGGAAGATGGAATCATTGATAGTACTTCGTGCTGATGGAACTGATATAAATCAAGTACTTTCTAACAGTAGAGACTCCACGCCATGGCCCATGGCACGCATTCATCTTGCCTGGGGTATCAAAAATATGGAAAAATCCAGAAAGGTCATGGGATTCTTTACCAAGCTCTTTAGTAACTCAAGTCTTATGAATTGCAATCTCTATGATGATGGTTTTCCCCAGGATTTTAGTAAGCTGTCAAATTTGAAGTACTTATTTCTGACAGGGAATCCAGTTTCTAGACTGCCAGATGCATTAAAGATCTGAAAAATATGAAAACAGTTAATTTATCTGAGTGTCCAAGGCTCCAACAAATTCAATGGCCATCGGTTGTTGTTGAAAAATTGTATGTCATAAGGTGCAGATCATTGAAAAGCATAATACGCCTAAGTTTGTTGATGCATCTTGCTTGCCCAAGTCTATGCTACGTTCAGAGCGCCTTCAAGATAGAAGACGTTGGAAAAGTTGATTTACAAGTGATCAACAGCATTGGCTTCTTCAACTTGGAATCCATGGCAAATGTTGATTTGATGATTGTTAATATTTTTCTTTTCAGTAAAATGAGGCGTCCAGCCCAGGTTCTCTCTCTCTTCCTCATGATTTAACGTACAGCTGAAACTACGAATAAATTTCACAGATTATGTGGGACAATTTCAAGTTTAACACATACTTTCCTGGAAGAGAAGTTCCACATCGGTTTAGCTACAAGATCACTGGCTCCACAATATCTTTTACTTTGCCTTCATTTCCTTTTCTCAAAGTTAAAGACTTGAATCTGTGCTTAGTATACAAAATTCCATCGATGTCCCCTTGCGGTTGTCGGGTCCTATATGTGTCAGACTCACTACTAAGAGCAAGTGACTGGATTGGACCTATAAACCAAGGTGCTACGGCGTTCCGGAAGCAGACGAAGATATGGTATGGTTATGCCATTGGCATTGGGGACAACCAATTCTGTTTGAAGGGGGTGATGAAGTTCAAGCTTCGTTTGATATGAAATTTGTTGGAGAAATCAAAGAGTGTAGAGTCCACGTTTTGTACTATGAAGAGGAGGAAGAAATATTCAATTACCTCAAGACTCTGCTCACGTTGTGGGACGGCGGGCTCGTTAGGTATAAGGGGAGATTAAATGTTAGATTGTATTATTTTTTATTTAATCGGGTTTAATATTTTATTTGATAAGTAAATTTGATATCGTATTAATTTTAAAAATGTATATTAATTGTATATTTATCGTATATTTTTTGTACGATAAATCTGTATTATGAAAATATTTTAATACTATCAAAAGATGTAGTATTATAATTCAACTTAAATGTATTATTCTATACATTTATTATTATAACTACATAACTGATAAAATCAAGTTATCATCAATGTAAGAAACACTTATTGAGGGTATTTTTGTTAATTCAATATTAATACGATAAAATAATTTTCTAACTAAACAATCGATTGGATTAAATAATTACTATCTAATATTTATATTGTATATTGTCAAATACTAGATAAAATTACGTATTATTTTAATATTTTATTTAATCTTATTTTTTGTTTTTTTATATTATATTAGACTGAATTATTTTATCTAATTCATCCATTTTTAATATGGTAACTAAACTAGCCTCGACATTAGCAGGTGCACACCTCCTCTCTCATCACGCTCACAATATCTAAATATATAATAGAAAAAAGTACTCATAGTTATTTGTTTAAAAAAGTAATAAATTTGATAATTGTTATCATTTGATGTACTAAAGTACAATATAATTTAAATTTTAAAAGATAAACAAAATAATTTTTGTTATTCGCGGTTGAGATCTGTTTAAATTTTACTTTAAAATTAATCTAATAGTTAATATTAACACTCCAAATTTAATATGAAAAATAGGATCCCTGAGGGTGTATTTAGGTGATTTTTTAAAAGTATTTTTATACTTATAATTTATCATAAGTACTTTAAAAAAAAATAGTGTTTGAAAACTGTCCCACCAACACCTCTACCACCACCAACTACACAATCACCATTACCACCATCGTCCTAGTACCACCATCACTGTCACCCCACCATCACCTCGTTCACAACAACCACCATCACCGCCCCACCACCTCCACTATCGTAACCCTACCACCACCCCATTAGTGTTCCACCGCCACCACCGTTGCTACCACCTTACCACTACCGCCACTATCTCACCATCACCCCTACCACATCACCCCCATTGCCCCTCAACCACCATCACCATTGTCATTTATAACTGTCACTATTACAACCAACTGTTATCATCTATCACAACTATCATCGTCTTCCACCACCACCACTACCGTCTACCATCACTACCACCACTCGCCCACTTAAATTCTTTTATTTCTTCTCTATTTTTGTAATTTGATTTTAGGTGTGAATACGAATATATTTATTGTTGACCATTTTTTTTTATTACTCTATACTTTCAGACATGAAAAATAACTAGTATTCTTATAATTGCGTGAGAAAGACAAAAACAAGGTGTCAAGATTAATGTAAAAGTTGAATGAGCGAATGACATTTTCCACGCTACTTTTTTTTAGATTTTATATTCACACCCTAAAATATTAGAATTTCTTGATTGCACCCTCAATTACATAAAAAAAAAGTAGCAATGTGATTTAATTATAACTTCGACATTAAAAAGGTTTAATTTTATCTCAAAAATTTAAAAATTCTGATATAGTAGTCTTCTAAAAAAAAATTGTCGAAAAGTCAACTTGATAACTCGAACTGTAGTTTACTTGTTATTATGACACTTATAAAAAATGTTATTTTTTGTCTAATCGAAAGCATTGTTAAAATGATTATTTTTTCATCAATTACCATGCATTCACAAACATTTGGTGGTAGTCATCCGTTTTGATTTTGGATTGAATTAATGATTATGAAAAATTATGATTAAAACTGTAATTGAAATTTTTATGAGATTGAGGCGAGATATAATTGTGCGTAAATTATTAAAAGATTGATTTAATTGTCTTAATTGACTTTAATAAGACAAAATATTTTTGAAGGGACTTACACAATGGCATCTAAACAAGGATGAAACCATTAGTTTATTTCACAAGATCATTCAATAAGTTGTCGTTAATGTCAATTTTTTAGTTGTGTATATGACCTATATTAATTGATTTTTCACACAATTTTTTTTGAATATTATCTATTTTTAATAAAATCAAAAAAATTAATTCATATCAATTTATCGAATAATTAACAATTTATAGTTTATTTTCATCACATAATCACTCAAGTACAACTAAATTTTAATTCAATTTTATCATTTAGTGAAAAATTTCAACACAAAAGTATCAAATAATCTAATAATTATTTACCATACAAACCGATCATTTCAATTTAATCAAAAAATATAATGTTGATCCAAAAAAAGTAAAAAAAAAATGCATTTATTCAATACGCATTTGCCACTAGACCACAACCCTTTGTAGTGTTCTTGGTGGCGGATAAATTACACATACTTCAATTATTTCTTAAAATTTTCATTATATAAGAGTTTTTTTGAAAAAATTTAAGGTGGGACTATTTCCCTTTTGGTTATGTAGTGGTTTGATATTTATTTAATTGTTTCAACATAATGATAAAAATAACATCACCACTATAAATTAAAATTGTCCACGTGCATGTGCACCAATATGTCAAGTGATAACTTCACATTAAAAAATATTGTTGCTAAATAAAATTGTGTATTCACCCAATAGGAGTATGCATCGGCAAATCACTATTATAAGTTTAGCATAATGTATCTATATAAAAGAACAAAATATTTACAGAAAGTTAAAAAGAAATCTGAAAGAGTACATAATAGAATTCTAAAAGAGGATGACATAAAAAATTAAGTATTGCATTTGACAAGAATTGATCGCTTGACCTCTTAGTTGGTATTATCTTAAGAGATCGAAGGATTTCCAATTAAATTATACCAAATTGGTTCGATTATTTATTGTCTTTAAACTTTGAAAGTTAAACTATAAAATAAGACCCATAAATTACAAAAATCACATTTAAGGTAATTTCTCGTAATATTTCAATTCCAAACAAATTAATCTATATAACGATATGATAAATATAAAATCAAAATTGTTGTCAAAAATAATTCACGTGCAACACACGTGTGCAATATCTAGTATACTAAAAACTTACTTTTTGTAATGAAACTGAATTTATTGTTTAATAAAAGTTCTTCATTTTCTATTGAGAATCTGTATGTGTAAAATATTTGCATCATATTAAATATATGTTATATACGTGTGTCTGCTATTTTACATTGTAGATAATCTGGTATATAAAATTCAGTTTATACATAAAATGTCAGATTATCGGATCTTTGTATAATATAAGTAAACTAGTTATTTTTTGTGCATTAAGGTATGGAGTAATGAAAAATATAGTTAACAATAAATATATTTGTATTCACATCAAAAATCAAATTACAAAGATAGAGGAGAGAAAAATGAATTTAAGCATTAGTTGTAGTGAGGGCGAGCGGTAGTAATGGTAGTGGAAAACGGTGATAGTTGTGGTAGATGGCGACGACCGTAGTGGTGGTGACAATCGTAGGAGGCAATAGTAATGATCGTGGGTAACGGTGATGGTAGTTGGTAATGGTGGTGATGGGCTAGCGACGGTGGTAGGGTAACGATGGTGATTAGTGGTGATGGGCAACGAGTGGTGGTGGGTTATGGTAGTGAGTGGCGGTGGGCGGTGGTACTGGGTGACGGTGGTGGGTGGCGGTGTGTGACGCCCTTAAAATCGGGGGTTCCGTTGACAACTTGTCAACTCGCGAAAATGCCTGTGAATGCCGTTGGATCTGACATCACACTATTATTATCCCATTACTGGAATTTTAAACTAACACGTAACAGCCGTGTTCCCTTAATCATTTAATCCTATCGAGGTTCAATGTACCCCAATATATCTCATTTAAGGTCCATTTATATCATAAGAACTAAAGAATGTATTGCCCAAAACCTTGGAAGAAAAAGAAAAAAAAAATTCAAAATGTGCCAAAGTGTTGCAGTACGCATGACCCACTGGACCTCACCGTACCGATACGCGTACTGGTACGCTGAACTTTCTGGACCTCACCGTACTGGTACGCTGGGTCCATTTTTCCCTGTTCCACCTGTTTTCGATTTCCAATCCAATTCAAAACTTTCAAAATTCATTCCAAACATACTTAACAATGTTTTTCACATACAAGTGAATATATACAAGGTCTATTACAAAATATTTCATACATTTACATGTTAAAATGGAATTAAACCTAAGTTTTTTATACAAAATTTGTCTTCAAAAGCCACAAACTAGCTTTTCTTCAACGTTGGGGCTCCGAATTCGAGTCCTCCACCGGTATGAACCTTGCAGCTGAAATGTTTCCTGTATAGGATGAGCCAACGCCCAGTAGAGAATTTTCTACAAGGGCTACTCCCCTCCTAAATGCATATGAATGTGTATGTGCAACCAATCACAATCATTATCCATTCCAATGCAAGTATATGTAACTTATGTTGAAATTTACCATGTCATGCCATGAATGAGATGAGACTCACTTCCGCACCTTAACCTTGAGCCTACCCTGGCTCCACAACACATGCAAAAGTCGATGCACATAAAACCGAGCCCTTCTAGTTTCCGCCATTTATATTCTTCTCTAAATGGCTATTTAAAATCTCAGGATTTTTCTTTGGGGTGGATATTTATGGACTAACACCAACGACACCCAACTGACACGGAATTCATGGACTTCCACCAACGGTTCCGCGTGCACCGACACACTTCATGGACTCTTATACCAACGGAGTGCATTTCCAATTATCGGACACGGAATTCATGGACTTCCACCAACGGTTCCGTGTGCACTGACACACTTCATGGACTCTTATACCAACGAAGTGCGTATCCAATTACCGAGTCTCTCACCCGAGGGGTATTCTAGCCCTTCTTACTACCCCGACCCAATTTCCTTTTTATGCAACCGTGTGACTTTGTTGAACCTTGGTCCAACAATACCGAGCCCACATGTCATCCACCAAGGATGGTGTGAGACACCACCATGCACCCACACACCCACACTCA